CAGATGGGGCCTCCCCAGGGCAGAGCAGAGGGGAAGGAGAACCTCCCTCGACCTGCTGGCCACACTCCTCTTGATGCACCCCAGGATCCCATTGGCGCTCTTGGCACCCAGGCACGCTGCTGGCTCATGGTCAAAGCCTGTGTCTGTGGGTTCCTAGCTTCGACCCCCCCCCAAAATACTAGATAAGAACAGGAGCAGTAAGTGATCCCGTGGGAGCCTCAGTTGTCTTTAACCGTTGAACTTGCTGATTTAATGATGGATTTTGAAGCACGTGTACATTTAACTGAGGAAAATCAAGAATGCTGGCCGCTCAGAAGTCTCTCTGCATTGCATAAATGAAATCAGGAAAAAATTAACTGGACAGGGATCAGGGGTAGTACGCTGCTTTTCAGACTTTAGGCAAAGTTTGTGTTGGTGTTGCCCATGACAAATAGCGTTTTTGGTCTAGCATTTCCCCAGTGCCAAAGACCTTTAAGAACAAGAAAGGAAATAATTTTCTGGATCTGAAGGATAGCGTCAAGCTTCACTTCAAAATTAAATGTTACATAAACACATGTGGTACATGTAATGGTTTCAGTGTAAAGCTGTTAAACTGGTAATATTTAAATAAATACAAATAGCTAAGCGTACTGAAATGGCCTATTTCAAAACTGATGTGTTTTTCCCTGTAATGTATATGTTCAAAAAACTATAAACATATAAACATATCACTTGTAAAAAATATATTAAATAATATAAATGCTATAATAAATATATAAACATAATAACTGAAATAATAAGTACATCAAGGCAAGTATATAAAAGTATAAACCATACACAAAACTTTGGTCAACTCCTCAAAGAATGTCACTTTTCTTTCTTTTCTCTCTTAGCTAAACAGCGATTCTGCCATAGACGAAACGATATCAGATCACGCTGGGTTATCACTCCAGTCTCAAGATTCCACTAGCAGTGTGGGGACAGAAGAGGTGCTTCAAATCAGAACTGAGACCCCAAGTTTGGAGGCTTCTCCTCTAGATAACTCTAGCAACCAGCTGCCTGAGGTGGGGAGAAATGTGGGCTGGTGCATGGCTGATCTGGGCTCCTTCTAGCGTTCAGCAGCAGCTTTGGCTTTCTTTTCAACTGAATTTTCGTCTGTTACACTGATTATTTGATTTGCTTTTAATATTTCTAACCTGGTGGAATGTTCTTACGACGTGTCCCCGTAGCGTGAAGACTGCTTGGGATGGACTGAGGGAACGTACGGCAGGTTAGAAATATTCGTGCAGGGCTGATGATGATCATTTCGTGGTGCAGAATGAAAACAGGCTACTGGGCAAGATGCTCTTCCTTGATGTGGTTGAAATCCTTCCTGAGCAACGTTTTCTTTCAAATACTTTTTTATCCCACCCTGCCTTTTTTTTTTTTTTTTTTTTTTTTTTTTGGGTTATTTTTTTTGGGTT